GGGAAGGAACAACGCCCTCATTTATCCTCAGCTCTCCCCGTGTGTTTGAGACAAACAGAACATCCCGGGTGTTTATTCGGGATTTTGTCCCTTTAGCAGGGAARATGAGCGTGGGATCAATAAATCAATAAATGGGAGAAAAGTCTCCTCTCTCAGGAGAAATTGATCTCTAAAAATCAGACTGAAAAAAACTTCAATATTGATGGATAAGAGATGGGGGCACATCAGGATAATAAAGAGGAAAATGAGATATTAGTGATCGAAATTCATTCATATGTGTGTCCCCCTCTGATATCTTTATTATATCAGCACAATAAATAAATCAGAAATAACCCTGCGAGTCTTTGGCAGTTTACAGTTTGGATATTCCCAAATCATTAAATGGAAAAAACCCCACAAAAAGTTTGCTCCATTTATTCTTTTCCATTCTCATTTTACCCAAGAGAGTTTCAAAGTCCTGTTCTGTTCCCACAAATCCCAAATGCACCGGGTTTGTCTGAGTGGGAACTCCTCAGCACCTGGGATTAAATCCTGATTCAGGGCTGAAATTCAGATTAAACAGGAGGGGAAGCAGCAGTGGGGTGATTTTAGGAAATCACAGGAAAATGAGATATTAGTGATTGAAACTCGTTCATATGTGTCCCTTGCCCAGTTATCTTGACTATATCAGCATAATAAATAAATCAGAAATAACCCTGCAAGTGTTTGGCAGTTTACAGTTTGGATATTCCCAAATCATTAAGATGGAAAAACCCCACAAAAAGTTTGCTCCATTTATTCTTTTCCATTCTCGTTTTACCCAAAAGAGTTTCAAAGTCCTGCCTTATTCTCACAAATCCCAAATGCACCGGGTTTGTCTGAGTGGGAACTCCTCAGCACCCGGGATTAAATCCTGATTCAGGGCTGAAATTCAGATTAAACAGGAGGGGAAGCAGCAGTGGGGTCGTTTTTAACACAACTTTCCTTCTGTCAGAAATTCAGATTAAACAGGAGGGGAAGCAGCAGTGGGGGGATTTTAGGAAATCACAGGAAAATGAGATATTAGTGATTGAAACTCGTTCATATGTGTCCCTTGCCCAGTTATCTTTATTATATCAGCACAATAAATAAATCAGAAATAATCCTGCAAGTGTTTGGCAGTTTACAGTTTGGATATTCCCAAATCACTAAAATGGAAAAACCCCACAGAAAGTTTGCTGCATTTATGATTTTCCATTCTCATTTTACCCAAGAGAGTTTCAAAGTCCTTCTTTATTCCCACAAATCCCAAATGCACTGGATTTGTCTGAGTGGGAACTCCTCAGCACCCGGGATKAAATCCTGCAGATTCAGGGCTGAAATTCAGATTAAAAGGCAGGGGAAGCAGCAGTGGGGGGATTTTTAACACAGCTTTCCTTCCGTCCTCCATCTCCAATAAATTCAAGGAGCGATGTGGGGTGGAAAAGTTTGTAATTTAAAATTACNGGGCAGTAGATTTGTTTATAAAAATCAAACAAAAACTGCTCAAACCCCTTGTCCAGAGCAGCCCTCATTTCCATTTTGTGCTGCTCCAGGACTTTTCCTGGCTCTCTGCCAAGAGAAGGGACCGTGGAGCACCATAATTCTCAGTTTATCTCGATGGATAAAACCCCTGCGCTGGCGAGTGCTGGAATTCTCTTTATTCCATCAGTTCTGCCAGATTTGAGTGGGATAATGTGAAAGTCCCTCTAACTCCCTGCATTCCCTAATCCTGGAGGATCTCTGCTAATAAGAGGATTAATTGTGAGAGCTGACGAGTTCTTGTGTGGCTCAGGGTGATTTGCACTTCAAGGAGAAGCAATTTCACTGTCACCTCAGCCTCTGCAATTCCAGTGCAGCAGGATCTTCTTTTCCAACAGAGAAGGAAACCAAAGGAGAATTAAACTGCTCTAGCTCAGTAGCATTTTGAGTGCTAGTATTATTATGTTATTTTTATTACTATAGTAGTAGTAGTAGTAGTAGTAGTAGTAATAGTAGTAGTAGTAATAGTAGTATTAATATCATTGCAATATTAATATTAATATTAATATTAATATTAATATTGTCGTTATTCAATTATATAATATATAATACATATAAAATAATAATAAATTATACTAAATTATAATTATACATTCTAATTAACTATAATTTTTATATAAGTAATATTATATACTAGATATTAATTATAATTATAAATTTATTTATAATAAATACAAATTGTATCTAAAATATATATAAATATATAAATACGGAATATAGTTATATAAGATATAATATATAATGTACCATATAGCATATATAATGTATAATGTATAATGTATCATATATCATATATAAAGTATAATATATAATTAATATATAATATATAATACATGATATATAATATATGATATAATATATAATATTTATAATATATAATATATAATATATAATATATATAATATATCATATATCATATATCATATATCATATATCATATATAGTATATAATGTATAAAATGTAAGATATAATACATCAGGTTTTTTTACATGTTTTAGCCATGGAAATCTCTGAAGGTGATTGAAGTTGTGTCTGTAACATGTTCTGTCCATCCCTTCTCAAGGCTTTGTAGGAAAGGGTCTGAGCAGCCCCTGATGGTGTGATCTTTTGATGAATTACATGGTCAGGTTCCAATTCAGCTTCTATTATGTCCTGAAACACTCAGAAATGTGAAAATTGCTGTAAATCCTGCGTGTGAAAGCATGAAACCCCCTCCCTGTGTCACACACTCACACAGCTCCTGACTCCTCAGGAAATTCTGCTTCATTTCCGTTTGTTAATCAACAAACTGCAACTGCTGAGGTGTTTAGAAGAGAGGAAATAAAAATCAGAAATTGAATTTATAATTCAATATAATTTTTTATAATTCAGCGGGTATTGGAGGCTGTTCCTCACCATCAGGGCTTTAAATCCCAACAGTTTAACCCTTCTGAGAAAACTCCCCGGCCCCATTTGGGCACATTTGGGTCATTATTTGGTGGCCTCAGTGAAGGTGGACAAAGCCCCTTCAAATTCAGCAGTTTGGGACTCCTTTTCCCTTTTTTAGTATGGAGATAAAAGCACAAAATCTGTTTTGAAAAGTGGAATCCGTTTCACCCCATAAATCTTTTTTTTTTTTTTCCACAAGAATGGAGGCTCCTGGTGCCATTTTCAGATGCAACATCCCCGGGTGTTTATTCAGGATTTTGTCCCTTTAGCAGGGAAAATGAGCATGGGATCAATAAATTGAAATTTTAGAGAAA